GGGGGGGGGGGGGCTGCCGCCCCCACCGCCCGGTACGCCCATGTTTGCCTCATTGTACAGTATTAAGAAGAGTGATGCCCATTGCCCATTCTATAGAAATACTACATCCAGACAGTTCAAATCGCGAAGTTAGTTCAATTTATCTTCTTTTGTAAAAAGATTAAAGGACGACGGAGAAGGAAGTGCTTACGATCAAGAAACGTTATCGACCATAAAAATGAATAACACGACAGTTCTCTACCTACGAGAAGTCAACAAGTATGTCCAGTCATTGTTAAAAAATATACGATCACTAATAAACATGAGAAACAACAAACCAATTGGCATCCGACCATTATACCAGCGTAAAATGTTTGTGCAGCAGGGTAGCATTAACAAAATAATGAGTATAATATCATAGCCACCTTGAAATCCTTTGTTTCGCGAGGGAAGATTAATGACTAATTTACCTCATTGTTAAAACGTGATGGACGATTAGAAACTTATCACCCCTCATACATAACCTCTTATATTGATGTTCACTGTTATATTGATATGCATAACCTCTTATATTGATATTCAATTCAATATTTAACAGATATCAAAAATCAACCGTAACCTCATTAACGAACATCCCAATAGTCATTATATAGTATCAAAAAACAAACGCGCCTTTTCATTTCAACTTATTCAATCGAATGAAACCGTTTTATTGTCTCTGTAGCTATGATCGGGTACATTTAATCACTAATCGCCCTGAACGCCATGCTGTTACTTATAAGAAATTTGATTTTTTTACAACCGTATGTGATTTTGTTTGTTTTAGATTTTTGGCATTGGTGTGTATTTTAAGAGAAGAAAACTTTGATAAACGAGGTTTAATAGATTATAATTTCCTCTGCTTTAGAAACGCCATACAAGAGGTTGGTAATTCATAGCATTTTAATAACTGAGCAGTTTCTTTAGTGAATCATGACAATCAAATATATTTTTAAAGATTTTTAGATAAATATTTGTTTTTAATTGCATTTTAATGTAATGTAAATGATGATGCATGGTTTACTATTATTATTTTCGAATCGATTTAACCTAGAATACAATGATGCCTCTGGTAAATAATACAATTCATAAAACCCCAATAAGAATCTGAAAGCGTATTGTATTCGGAATTAAAGAACTAAAGGAGAATTCGAAAGGGAAGAGCATTAACTGTCAAAGTTTGCTAGGTCATATCAGAAGACACCTTATATCAACAGTCCAGATAATATTTTCTTATAATCGTCTCGCTTTCTTGTAATACTGTCTTTTGCATTTCTCTACTTGTTTCCATGTAAATCTTTCTATAGTTATTAAACAGTTCTCAATGTTAATCTAAAACCAAAAATAAATTTCTCCATCTGTGTATTAAACAAGTATTTTATGTTTCTAGTTAGCAAGTACCTATAGTACTGCTAAACCTTTCATTATTTTGAACATCATGATAAGGATAACGACGATGTAGAATTTTAGCGATGGGCAACCATTTCAGGGTAGTCTCTTTAATATATCTTCTCTCTTTTCACGTTTTTGTTCGACTCGGTATCCTCGCCGTGTAACTCGTCCTATCCTACGTTCCCAATCCCAACAATGCTTCTTCCTGTTGATCTCAATCACTTTCCTTTTCTCCAATCTCTCATTCTCTCTGTGTATCAATCGCTAATGGACCTTTAACCTTATAACTAAAATTTTGATCTAGATAAGTCAAGACAAAAATTTCATCACAGCCTGAAAGAGCATCTCAAAATTAGTAATATTCCAAACTTTCGTTGCGAAATGTTGTAAAATGCGGATAATGTAGCCTTGCGAAGTTTGCAATTTTCAGTCATTTTAGATTACAAACGGGAAATTGATACCCAAACACCCGATTTGGGTATCAATTTCCC